CGTGGCCCTCGACTGGCCGCCACGCGGCCTGAGGGGGCCCTAGAGCTCGGCCGAGCTCGGGGCTACCCTCGGCCACCCCCTGCTCATCCTGAGGCGGGGGGGGGGGGGGCGCCTGCTCCGCGGCCGCTGTCGCCGCGCCTGCGCCCGCCCCCGCCGCGCCCCCCTCCACCGCGACCTGCGCCGCCGCCAGCGCCGCCGACAGCTGGGCCGCCGGCGCCCGACACGGCCGGGGGCCCCCGCAACCCGCCGGCGCCGGCCTCGCGGCCCCCCTTGGCTCGCAGGAACACGAAGCTGCGCATCGCGGGGCCGACCGCGCCCCCAGCGGACATCTGGTTTGCGCAGTAGCGGGCCAGGTTCTATCTAGGTCGGCTTGGATGGATTGACGCAAGCCGCCACAATGCCCGCCATGCCTCGATCGACACAGAGCAGCTTGCCGACGTCGACCTGGTCAGTGGCGCCGGCCAGCCAGAGGGGCTCCACGAGGGTGCGCAGCTCATGCGCGGCCCTGTCCGTCGAGGCGACCCCTTTCTCTCGCAGCCACTCCAGAAGCCAAGGGCGGGGATCTCCTCCTGTCTGCAGCGTCTCGTGCGTCTCACTGCTGCTCTCCTGCGTCGCCTGCTTGCGCGCTTTGTAGCGCCCGCCCTGGCCGTCGTAGTCGATCACCAGGGTCCGCAGGTCGCCCGTCTCGGCAGCCCCGTGAGCAGCGGGGGCCGCTGGGGGAGTGCCCGTTCCCCCGACGGCCTCTGGGATAACCCGCCCGAGCCCGCCCGAGCCCGTCGCGGAGGTCGGACTCGCCCACGCCCAGCTCCCCCGTGACGGCCCCAAGGCTGTCCTTCAGCTCACTACGGCGGTGCTTCGCGAAGCCGGGGACTGCCTGGGGCGCCATGCGTTCGACGCGCCGCCAATCATCATCTAGCACCACAAGCCCGGCAATGCCGCCCGGCGCCTGGAGCACCCTCGCCCAAGCCTCGATCTCTGTTCCGATGGCATGACGATCGGAAGGCTCCGTCAGCACCCAGACATAATCATCGCCCACTGCTTCGGCCTCCACCTCTCGAGGCACCCGACGCATCACCAAGAGCTCCGGCGCGAAGGTCTCCGGCGGCGCTCGCTCACAGGCGGGGCTCAACACCGTCGACACCTCGGGCGCATAGCGGCCAAGCTCGGCGCGAACCATTGCTCGGCCGTCCCTCATCGCCTCTTTCAGGGCGTCGGCGCTGGGGTAGTCGCGGAAGAGGTAAGCTCTCAGCGTGAACCCGTCTGGCACCGTGCCCGCGTCGTCCAGCGGGGTAGCGTCGAGCACCCCCCAGAGCTGCGAATCGACGAAAGATCGCCCCAAAAAGCCATAGATTGCCCATGCACGGCATCATGAGTCCCTAAGACGTTTGAAACAATATTGCGAGGCGCCCCGAAGAAGCCCTCCAGAAACAGAAATCGTCACATTTCCATCGGGAAACGTGCGTTTTCAGCATATTCGCCCATTCGGCGTCCACGCGACGCAAAACGGCCCAAGAAGCCTCCAAAAGCGACCCTCGCCAGCCCAATAGTTCTCCAAAAAGGCTCCAAGACGGCTTCCGTGCGATCCACGAGGAAAGCCACAGGGCGGTCCCAAAAGGGCCCCAAAACGGGGCAAGAGGGCCCCCAGAGGCTGTCTGGGCGGCCCGCGCGGGGGACGATTCGGTCCGAAACCGCCCAAGATTCCTTCCAGACGGCTCCATGGGCGTCCAAGACGCTTGCGCACGCGACCACGAAGCGCTCCAAGAAAGCCTCCAGAAGCAAAAAACCGCCCCATGACCTTGGGAAAACGTGCATTTTCAACATATTCGCTTCTTGGGCTTCCACGGGGCCCGGAACTGCCCAACGAACCTCCAATATCGACCTCTGGCACCCCGAGATGCCCCCCACAAGGCACCACGACGGCCTCCGGGCGCCCCACGAAGGCCCTGGAAACCGTAGCAACGGCCCGGGGGAACGGCAACACGATCCTAAGAGGGCACCAGAACGTGTCCAAAAGGGGCCTCACAGGCTGTCCGGACAAGTCACGCGGGGGGCGATTGCTGCCGCCCCAAAAGGTCGGCGGCGTGGCGTAAGCCGACGAATCAGCTCCCAAGAAGGGCGCGATGGAAAATGCGAGAGGACGAATATCGAGGGTTCGGGATGCACCTGGTAAGTGGCGCGCGAGCAGATGAAAACAACCCATCTAAATTTGATTCAACCTTCATGATCAAACAAATATTACTGCTGGGTGCCGTGAATCCGCTTTCGCGCTCTCGCGTGAGCGCCAGCTGCGTTTTCTCTAACCAATAGGCTCGCGCTCAGACGTTTCCGGCGTTCCGCCAAAACCACCCCCCAAACGACAACAAGGCTCGGGCTCGATCGTTCCCGCCTTCTCACTCGGGGCCGGGGTTCTCGCGTGCCCCCAGAAACCGTCTTTCTGACAACATCGGCGCCCCTGTTCGACGCTTGCCCGCCTTGTACCTCTGGACCAACGCTCCCGCATCAAGACACCTTGCAAACATAGTCGCTCCCGCTGGACACTTCCTCCGCTTTACTCGCGACTCCGAGGAGGCCGCGAGGCTTGTGGGTCCCTGTTGAACCTTGATTGCGGAATCACTAGTAGCATTATTAGTATTATAACTATTGTCGAACACCCCGAATGCGCTTTCGCGTTCTCGCGCCTGCTCCGCGCGACCTCGTTCTGGCTCGTGCCTTGGGGCGCGGCGTAATGCTGTCGTCGTCGCCGCCACCGCCGCCGCCGTCGCCATGGCCTGGAGGCCGCCGGGTGCCTCCTGAACTCCTGGAGACACGTAGGACCAGTTTTTGGTTTGCGTGTGTGGGAAAAAAACAGGGAGGCGGAGGAGGCGCGACCTCGTTCTGGCTCGTGCCTTGGGGCGCGGCGTAATGCTGTCGTCGTCGCCGCCACCGCCGCCGCCGTCGCCATGGCCTGGAGGCCGCCGGGTGCCTCCTGAACTCCTGGAGACACGTAGGACCAGTTTTTGGTTTGCGTGTGTGGGAAAAAAACAGGGAGGCGGAGGAGGAGGAGGAGAAGGAGGAGGAAGAGGACGACGACGACGGCGGCGGCGGCGGTGGCGGCGGCGGCGACGACGACGACGCGCCTGGTGGCATCGGGAAGCTGCCGACGCAAAAACGACCCCTGGGAAGGGGTCGAGGCTCTGGGGGTTCCCCACGGGGCTCTTCCAGAGGTTGCGAGGCCCTTCCCAGAGGTAAGCAGACCTGGGCAAGTGCATTGCGAAAGAAATGTGCCATCCAGGCTGGAGATGTTGCAGTGCCTCGGAGGAGGTGTTGTCAAGACCTCTTCGGGCGGGAAATCAGAGAGAGAGATGAAATATCATACACCCGCTTGCAATAACAAATCCCCCATGAGTGGGAACTGTCATGATGGATGCATGGTGCATACAGCATCATGGAGCATTCGGGTATAATGAGTGTTCTTGTTGTTGCTCTTGTAAATCAGGCGCCAGCAAAACAATCTGAGGCTCAAGCCTATCCCATGCCAAGAAATACAGGCTGCGAGTCCCAGATTAGGCAACTGAGCTGAAACAACACAATGGGCACTGCGAAGGGGGGATCGACAATACATACTTTTTCTGTAGACATGAGAATTCCATACTGTCAAGACTGTTCGCCTTTATCTGCGTACGTGCCACTCAACAGGCACACCCCGAACCCTCGATACCCGCCCTCTCCGTCTTCCATCGTGCCCCCCTTGGGGATACATCTTCCTTACCTGCTACGTGTAGTGGGCGCAAACCCTGAAACAGGGGACGGGATGCGATGCGATGCGATGCGACCACCGTTGAGGACAGCGTCCGGGCCTAGAGCAGACCAGGTGGGTGAGGCCATGGCCTCTGGGATCTGAGGTGTCTGGATTCCTGCAGTGCGAGACGTATGAAAAGTGAGGAGGCGAGGAGGAGGTGGAAAAGAAGGGAGGGAGGGAGGAGGGGAGGGAGGCAGGAAGGGACAAAAGGGGAGAGGGACAACGACGGAGCCCAGGAGAGCTCTGCAGGAGGGGGTTCCAGGAGCAGGAGCACACAGGCGGCAGAACCAGACGGGGGCGCGTCGGGCGGGCGGACCCTAGCGGGCGGGCCGGTGAAGCGTCCGTCCTCATGAGCCGCGGGGAAGTCTCGAGCGACAGCGCGCTGCAAAATCAGTCGTGAGGAAAAGTCTGGAGCGAGAGCTTGATCTCTGAGCGTCGAGGGCGCGGCGTCTTCATACACTGCGAGGACGTGCCGCGCGAGGGCGCGACTCCAGAATCAAGTGTGAGGGAGTCCCGCGCGAGAGCGAGATATTGCACACATTCTAAGCAAAGGGGCCGTTGTGTTTGCAAACTGAGGGCCATCAACAGCGTCTGAGGCGCAAGACTTCTTCTGATAGAAAACAGGGTGCGACCATCGGGAAGGGCACTTCAATGGCAAACACAGTGGGCACCAGAAGGGGGGCCAGCCATACTATTCTTCTCACGAAGACATGAAGACTCAACATGCAAACAAACCAACACATCGCAAACCTTGGACGTGGATGCCACCTGGAATACCGTTTGGTTATCTGACATCGCGCGTCGCGCCGTGCGATGTGCGCTCTGGTATCCTTGCGCCATGGAGAGAGGCAACTAGCTGGCCCAGGCCGCGCCGCGCGAGCCGCGGCTATCTTCGCGCCCTCGCGGGCGACCCAGGAACTGCCTCTGGCTCGCAGGAACCTGGCAGGAAGCAACACTTGTCCGCCCACGACCGTGTGAGAGCTTCGCAGGGGCATTCGATGTGGACATGAGAGCTCGAGAGCGTGGGCGAGGCCGCGCCTGCTGAGAGGAGGGCCTAATCGACCCGGCAGCTGGCAATGTCCTGCTCCTCGTTCCGTATCCCTCCTACCCTATCCTGCCTGGGCCTTGCGCTCACCGTCCCATGGCCCTGCAGCACGTGCTCTTTGCTCAACGCACTCTGCGTGCAGGCTTCTCTGAAGTCAAGGCAACGGAGCTGGCAGGCCTTTGACGAGGCTACCCCAAATGCAGCGCGAGCAAGCGTGTCCCAGGTGGACGTCACCTTGGACGGGCGCTATATCAGCAATGCGTTCGGTGAGAATCGGTTTGCGAGAACTGCCAGGTGGATCGTAGCGACGAGCGATGCTTTCAGGCATGAACGCAATCAAAGTGAGTAGACGAGGAAGAGGACGACGACGACGAGGATGATGAGAATGAGGAGTGCAAGACGCAACATGGGCAGGAGATGTAACACGTCCACAAGAGATAGCAGACAGAGGTCAGAACGAGAGAGGACCTTGTTGCACGACTGTGGGGGGCGCCATCCCCAGTGGGCTAACGACAAACCACACCCTGAAAGACGAGACGAATAGGCGCAGCGACCATGACCAGGGGGGGACAGAAGAACGAAGCACCAATTAGCTAATGAACAAAGTGATCCAGAAAAGGCTTCTTGCGAAGCTGTCGCACGATGCGAGCTCGGAAGGCAAAGGGAACCCGATCTCCCATGGGAGCCCTGGACACTTTCGCGGAGCGGTAAGCACTGCACATCAAAACAAACCAACGAAAGACGGACGCCAACTGCTCGGTGGGAAACGGAAAAACGGAAATGGCACGCACTCGACCGCAGGAGGCAAGAAAGACAGGAGGGAGGCGAGGGAGGCGACACAACATGGGCACGAGAAGGAGCACAATACGCAACATGGCACTGCTAATCTGAAATAACGGGAGCGAAAGACTCGCGCAACACCGGTGAGGGGGAGGGGTAAGAGAAGGCGGGAGAGAAAAGGGAGGAGGGAGGGAGGGAGATGGGGGGATGAAGGGGGAGAGGGGGAGGGGGAGGGAGGGAGCTGGAGGGTGCGGAGACGGTGTCCCCTGGGGGGTGGGGGATGAGGAGGAGACGAAGGAGAACTTGAGGTCACATGCGTGGTTCTGGGGCGTCTGACCCTGTAAGTGGGCCCCGTTTCCTGGAGTCACCACCCTTCAGGGCACGGTGGCCCGATGGTTCTGTGGTCTGTATGCGCGGAACGAGGTTGTCGCTCTGGGCCAGTAGTCTGCCTGACTCGCAAGAAGGCCGCAACAGGGCCCCAAAATGCCCCCCAGGGCGGCCACAGGATGGCCCACAAACGAAATCAACGGCGCAGATATTCAGGGTGGAACGTGCCAGAGCAGCTGCAACGCCCCAAACAAGGCCGCAAAAACCCCAAAGGGGCAACGAAATCGCCCGCATAGCGAATCGACAATAGGACTTCACCGTTGAGGGGGATGCGTTTCGTTTGTCATGTTAACATGATTAAGACGAGTTCGAAACATGCTGGAATGCAAACGATGTGACTCAAGGTGTTGTTGCTATGTCTGGGTTGCGGTCGGGAATCGGGCTGGAAATTCGCACGATAATCGATCAAAGCCCCGTGTCACGGAATACTGCGTGGGACCTCTGGCTGAATCGGGGGGAACGGAAGGGTAGGATACATAGCTGGTTTTCCTGTGCCTCCTGGCGCCAGGAGGCGCCAATGTAGCGAGGAATGGGACCAGCGGCGGGACCGAACCAAACTACATGCAGCAGACTTCGCGACCCCCCCTTTCCTTATCCCCCTCTTCGTTTGGCCCGGCTGACGGCGCGTCCATTCGACAACGGATGGGCCGGCGCGACCGGGATACTGAATTGTTGTTCCTGGTGGGAAATCACCAGAAGCAGAAATTCGGCGCACGTCCATGCCTCTTCGCCCTCGTCAAACTGTGTTTGCGCGCGTGTGTGTCGCGTGTGTGTGTGCGTGTGTGGCGACATCCTCGATGCACGCACACGCGCACAACACAGAAGGGCAAACATTTACACTAATAAGCACAGAACACGAACAAGACCAATATACATAACACGAACAAGACCAATATCGCGACCTGAGACATTTGCCAACCGCCGCTGCGGTCTGTTGGTGATTGAGGTTTCGATGGAATTGCGGGTGACAGGGGTGAAAGGCAGACGACATGGCGGCAGTGGCAGGTGCATAGCGGCGGTCCTCGTCCTTCTCCAATGTACCATCCGGGTGCGCACCTTCAGTCAGAATAACAGCGGGCGGCCGCACGTGTTCCTATGGGCAATGGAATGTGTTCCTATGACACGCTTTGGTTCCGGAAGAGTGCGCTAAAACAATAAAACAACCTCTGGCCCGCGTTGATCAGACGCGGCCAACAACTGGCTGTCCCGCGCACGTCGCCCATGACTCAGTAGCATCAGCCATATTGGTGGCGCGATGAAGCCTCGAGAGCAACGCGTGTTCTTCCGTGGCCAGCGCATGCGTGTGATGCGTGCCTGTTGCCAGGGTTGCTAGCTCGTAACAGCACCCCGCAGCAGGGAACGCCCGAGAACAAACTCCTTACCCAATGCGGCGTCGACCTGCTGACGTTGTCTGGCAGCCGGGAACAGGGAACTGCTCCCGTGCCCTGCGTGCGCTCACGCCACGGCGCCAGTCGAGCCTGCCAGCCAGGTGCGCTCCCTGGCTCTGCATCTTGCACGCTGCTGGCGGAGCCGCTAGTCTCCGGCACCTTTTTGCGAGTAGGTGCCGGCGGGCGCAGCTGGCCGTGGCATCGCTTGCGCGGCAGCGTGGCTGGAGGGCACCCGCGCGCCGTGCTCCGTAGGCTCGCAGACGCAGCTCGTCCAGCTGTTTGCGGCTGTGTGTCTCTCGTTGCCAGCGCTTGCCAAGCGCGGCTGTTGACTGGTCCGCGTGTTGGGCTGGGGAATCCACCGACGCGTTGCGTGCTGTCTGGGGCCAGCAGCAGCGCCGCGTCGCTGGCGCCTACTTCGGCCGTTCGCACTGGTCCCAGCGTCGGCAGCACAGCGTGGCCTACGCGCCAGGCCGCCGCGACGCACGCTGGCTCGTCTGTCAAAAAGCGCGGGCGGCACTGCAAAACGGACCCCTGCGATGGCGCGCTACCGTGTTGGCGCCACGTAGCGCAGACGGTGCAGAGGTGCCACAGCCGGGCACTTGCACGCAACACTTGTCGCGCGCCTGTGCCCGCCAGAGCTTCGCGACGAAGACGCTCGCGTTGTTGTTCCCGCGGCGCCGATCTACTGCAAGACAAGGAGGCCCTTGCAGTCGACGGGGAAGGTGGCCGGCTGGTGGCGGGGAACGGCTTCGCGATGGTGGTTGCTCCTTGGAGCTCAATCGCCATGTGTCTTCTAGACGGCGCATCTGTGCAGGCCAAATGGCATGTGGCATGTGGCGGTGGCTGTCAAGACGCACATGCGCAGCCACGGTGCGTCCAGGAAAAGACGCCGCGGCAGGATAGGGGCACGAGCATTTACGAACGATGCGTCGCAGGCTCGGCGGGGCCCGCGTTGCTGGCAGCCGCGCGGTGGAGCTCGTCCAGCCAGCTGCCCCTGCTTACGGTGGAAACGCGCTCAAACACGACGTCCGCGCATGTCTGCGTGGCTCTGTCGAATTGATGACGGTGGGCCCGGCGGCTGACGTCACGTGTTGGGCGACTTTGAGAGCACCCTCGCCGTCGTTGCTCTGCGGCGAGCACTGCCGCGCGCGTCTCCGCGCTGGCGTGCCCCCCCCCCCCCCCCCCGGCGAGGGTGCTGCCATGCTACATCATGCGCAACGCGCTGGCGCGCGCCAGGCAACGCGGAGCCGCGCCCCGTTCGCCGCCCCCGATGGTTGGCTACACTGCCTGGCTGGTGTCGCCCAGCAGGTTCCCACTCCAGAGGCTGACGCGGGGGCGACGAATGAAACGTGAGTGTAGATTGACCTCCAGGGCTGGGCAATGCCGCGCGTTGGAGCTGAACTGACATGCCAGACCCATCCTCGGCGGTCTCGGAGATCTCCGAATCGAGCCTCACGACGATGACCGTAAGGAGGCCCCCTCCTTCACTACGAAAGAATCCTCGTCGGCGGCGCTGCCAAGACGCATCGCCGCCTGCATGTGCGACGCGAGTGAGCGGCGCGAGGTCTAGGAAATTGTGCTTGCTGGCAGAACTGTTGCACTGCGGTGATGGCCTCCGTTGTCAGACACGGACCTGGAATGGGCCTCTCAGCGGTACAATGAAAATGCATCCAAACTTGTAGGCGCCAGTATTTGCGACAACTGATATTGGAACTGCATGCCGCTGTAGCTCTGCGTCGTGGACGTGGTGTCGGTGTTCTCCAGGCCGCGGCGTCCGCGATGGAAGTGACCGAAGTGACCTCAACGCTCCGACTGGCCACGAACGCGTCGCGGTACACTTCCGTCCGCACGCGCTCGTTCCCGATGCCCCAAGGTTCCATGGATCGGTCTGTGCGCCGACGCGGAGGCAGACCCGCGCCACGTCCCCAGCGCGACGTCTCCTGGTCTGGACTGTCGCTGAGCCGATGAGCGCCCACGCGGTGAACGCACTGACCTCCCCAGGGAAAGTCCAGGCCCAATATTTGTTGTGCTGACGCCACATCTGTCGCAGAGATGGGGCCCCTTTCCGCCTCAGACATGGTGCGCCTGAGTAGGTGCGGCGGTGCGCACATTTTCAGTGGCTGCGACGCATCGCCGCTGCGCCAGAATAAGTAGAGACCCTTTGAAGTTCAGCAGAAGGTTGTTCAAGATCGCGAGGTTGAGCCTGCTGGACGTGCCCGTGCAAATGCTGGAGGTGTCCGCGTCGTCAGCGTAGAAGCCGACGTGGTTCCTATCCGTCGGGGCCGTCTGGGCCGTGGACCGGGCCGGGCGAGAGGGGAGATAGCAAAGGGGGGGGTGAGACTCAGCTCGCGCAGCTGCTTTTCCCGGCGCCTCCCGGCGCCAGAGGCGGCTTACGTATTGAGGAATGGGCCCCTTGGTGGGGCCGAAGCCCGCTGCATGCAGCAGATTTCGTGGAGGACGAGGAGGGAGGAGGGAGGAGGGAAGAAGGAGGGAAGAAGGCGCGGCGGAGCGAGCGCAGCGCGCGGCAGCCGCCCAGCCGCGCCGAGGGGGGGGGCGGCGGCCACGCGGCGGCCGGCGGCCGCCCACGGAGTAGCAGCGCGGCGCGGCGCGCGGCGGTGCCTGCAGAGGGAGAGAGCCTCGCGGCGTCTTCCCAGGCCGCCGCGCGGGGGAAGTGCCTGC